CCACTTTGTCATCTAATCAGAAGTAAAACCAAATCAGTCATACCATGTTTCCACATCGGACTGATGTCTTCACTAACTTGTAGCTGAACATACCTCTCTACACATGTCCACTGGAAAACACATGTGTAGGGAGCTTGGAATGTTACTTTTAAATACTGGAAAAATTATAGTGTCTCATTTACAAATGCTTATACTCACAGGACACAAACGTAGACTAAAAGTCCCAGCAGGTTACTTCATGTGAAGTTACTCACATGACACATAGGCAGCATAGCAAGCTCTCCTGTATGGCTCAAGAATTTTTATTGCCCGTTTGTTATCAATTAGTAATTAAATTTGCTTCAATGATTCAAAGAAATATTTCAGGAGTGACTTGCACTGACCATAAAAGAAAAATATAAGTTAGCATGTGTTAAATTGCTTGCAGTTAAACTTGTTGATACTATGACTAAAGTCAAACAGAAAGCACTTCTTCTTCCTGTACACTTCCAGTGCTGGAGACTAAATTATGACAGCACTCGCCTTTTGAACAAGCGAGTCTCAAAATCCACTCAGCTGGGGGTTATTTTCACTCACTAAGAAAGATATCTCTCCTTCCCCCATAACAATCTCTGCAATGGTTAACAAATCATGCATTTTTTTCGGTATCTCGTAATCACAGAGACCCAGCTTGCCATTTCGTGTTCAGCTTTCTTGTTCTGGTCCATTTAGGCATTTCAATGATGCCTCCTCAGGATTGTGACCGATTTTACTATATTTTACTTTTCACACTCCATGGAAATTTTCGCCATTTCTGTAGTTTTGACTGAAAAACAGCTTTAAATGAACTGTTGGGACTACCAAATTCACATATATCCATAGAATCAAGACATTGGAGTAAACAACTTGTTGGCACATGAAATACTGAAGTTTCTTCCTTCAATTTTCAAAGCAGTTTTTATTTCAAGATGAATCTTCGTGAATGCTGGCTCAACTAGAGACCAGCAGTATCCCTTCAGAGCAAGCTTTTAACCAGATGGGTGTTGAGGCATCCTGGGTTTGGCCACTTTTTAAAGAAAATTGTTTTATTAACCGCGCGGCCATGGGCCAAGCACGGTTCATGTTCTACCCGTGGTTTATTATTTTTTTCTGTCACAACCAGACACAGACCTCCACTCGGCCAACTTTGAATTACGCAAACTGTAATGTTTACTCGCAAAACCTTGTTTCTTCAGGGTCAACAAAAATCTCAGATTACAAAACACGCCGAACTCACGCTTTGCAAAAAAAATCTCTTCAAAACCCTGACTTCGACGTGATATATCACTTTAGCCTTAATAGCTACCTCATATCGGCAGTAGTAAAATCTATTCCTTAACAATCCAGCTTTATCATGTTAAAATTTCAACGAAATCGAACAAAACCAGAACTAAATATAATTAGATTTTTTTGTCACCTCGCTTCATTGTTTGAGTCAACAAAGGAAGCGACGGTCGCCCATAGCCACCAAAACACACGAACATAACAAAAACTGATGTTTCGGTCAAAAAAATCCAGGATTATTGCCTGAGAGCTGAAAATTGAAGAGGAACATCTTTTTCGAACTTTATTTAGACGAAAAAATGACGAAAAAATGACCTCGGCGGGCTCCAAAAGAGAACGAAACAAAAAACAGAACGA